GCTTCAGCAGGGCTTCCCCCGACAGCCTCTGTGGTGGGGCTCCTGCAAGGGTGAGCGCTTAATAACAAAGCCTGCAGAACCTTTCACCTCCCTGCTGAATCGGGGCCAGCAGATTTGCATCGGCGGCTCGTTCTCTGCCTTCTGAGTAGCCCAACTCGAAGTCTGTGGAAAATGACCCAGGGAGCGTCGCAGTTAGAAGCGGAACTGGCTTCGGCAGCAAGAGAAGTGGGATGATCCTCTGGCGTTGTTGGATCTCTTCCCCAAAGGGGGCCAATCGGCTGGCCTTTGTTTCCCTCCTAGCCCTGAAGCGCTTCCACGGCCGCCTGCACTACCGGCGGGAGATGGAGGACATTCAGAGGGAGGGCTTGGCCCTCGGGAGCCAGAAGGCCAAGAAGCCCTGGGAACTCTTCCTGGACCGAAGCATCCGCTGGCAGCTGCTCACCATCATCTGCATGACCATGGGGCAGCAGCTGAGCGGGATCAACGGGGTGAGAACCAGGGCCTGCTCTTCCCCCTCGGGAGGTGGGGGGGGACCCTCTTCCGGCTGCCCCCACCCCCGTCTCCCGCCCTCTTGCCAGTGGCCTTTCTGGGAGCCCCACTAAGCCCAGATCCTGGAAAGTGAGTGGGTCCCTCCCAGAGGCCTCTTCCTCCGGACGGGGGCCAGTTCAGGATAAGCACATGCTGCTTTCTCCCTCCTCCGCTTCACAACGACCCCACGAGGTAAGTCCAGCCATATCGTCCTGCTGGGGCTCCTGAACCCAGCAAGGGAGAAACTGGTCCAGAGTCAGTCTGGTACAGCCGGGGGCCCTTCTCTGGAGCCACACCCCCAGGCACTGGGGGGCAGATGGGGGGCAGGGGGAAACTGGGGCTCTTCCCAGTCATGATGCATTTGTTGCTCCCTCTCCCCCTCCCCAGATTTACTTCTACGCCAGTTACGTCTTCCAGGAAGCCGGGATCCCCGAGGGGAAGATTCCTTACGTGACGCTGGGCACTGGGGCTTGTGAATGTCTCACCGCCCTCACCTGCGTAAGTGCTGAGTTCAGATCCCGCTGGTCTAAATCGCTTTTTAAAAAAAGGTATGTGTGGCTAGAGTGAGCGAGGAAGCGCCTTCCTCTGGTCTTTTCCCCTGCAGGGCTTGCTGATCGAGTCCATGGGGAGGAGGGCCCTGATCCTGGGCGGCTACTCCCTGATGACCCTTTGGTGTATGGTGCTGACCTTCTCTCTGACCTACCAGGTAGGCTGGCCGGTCTTTGGCGGAAGGGAGGAATGGGCCAGGGCGCTTCTCCTTGCCGGGGGTCCCAGCCGCTGGGTGCTTTCCCCCCCACCCAGGGCCTGCTGCCTGGTGGGGTCAGGATTTGTGCAGGCTGGTCCCTGGCTCTTCCTGGGCCATGCGCAAGGAGACACATACACAGGAGGAGGAAAACCGGGGAGGCAGGGAGGGAGGGAGTGGGATGTAGTTGGATTCACATGCGGAAGGGAGGGACTGCCCCCCCCGGACCACTTCAGCAAACCTTCCACGCCCTGTCTTCTCAGGTGTACTGGTGGGCTCCCTACCTGAGCATGGCCTGCGTCTTCGCCTTCATCTTGAGCTTTGGCCTCGGCCCAGGTAAACCTATCCTGGAATCCCTGGGAGATTTCTGCCCCTGAGAGATTTCTGCTTCTCACATGGTGTCTTATGTACGTGATGAAGCTGTACTGGTTTGATAACCACTTGTCACCCACCTCTGTGACCTGAGTTTTGGGCGGGGTGCGTAGAATTCTCTACGCCTTGCTTGGGGTCCTGAGCAGACGCTTAAAAGTCTCTGGCCAAATCCTGGGATTCTGGCAAACGGAGCCATGAATGCGGCATGCCGAACGGGTAGCCACTCGTCGTGCGGACGCTGCCTCGTGTCTGTCCTGCACCCGGTTCCCTCCTGCCCGATCCAATCTCTTTTCCAAATGGTTGTCTAGGTGGAGTGACCAACATCCTAACCATCGAGCTGTTCACGCAGTCCTCACGGCCCGCGGCGTACACGATTGCCGGATCGGTGAGCTGGCTGAGCTTCTTCACCATTGGGATGCTGTTCCCTTTCATCGTGGTACGTAGGCTGCGCCTTAATCTGCCCTCTTGCCCCACGTGGTACGTAGGCTGCGCCTTAATCTGCCCCCTGAGACGTGGCTCAGGCCACGGCTGTTGCCGGCAACGGCGGTGTGGTTTTTGACGAGTTCTTACGTCCGATTACTTAATTGAATGCGTAATGTTCTTGCTCGCTGGCTTAGAAGTCGTCTCCCGGGTTGGCTGAGCCATAGTTCCACACCAACAGCCCACAACGCAAAAGGAAAAAGGGACAGGAGCGTGGATGTTGTGCGTTGTTTATTCATTTTGTTCTTGAAGTTCTATTATGTTCCACCTGGTGTGTCCCACGCACCCACCCAAATTCCCACTGCCATGCGGTGTGGGGGGGGAATCCTCTTTGAGATCATATCTATAAGCAAAAACAAAACCTGGCCTTTAAAGTGACTCGTCCGGCTTGCTTTATTAGTACTATATTATGCGAGACGGGTACCACGGAGCGCAAAGGGATCTGAAGCCGTGCCGTGCCTTGGCATTCCCAGCAGATATGGACTTGCCAAATGCAGCGAGTCCTTGGAAAGACCGTTTTCCCCTCTTAACGCAGCGGGAGGCGGGAGCCCCGCGTGGTGGGCGGCTCCTGTGATCAGAAGCAGCCGCCAGACTGCTGCGCACGCGAGAAATCTTGGGCCAATTCTTTTTCTGCTCTAATAATTTTAGAAGCCATCCTCATTTTCTGGGCGGTGTGTGTTGGGGGGGGAGGGAGTAGAAAGCTGACAAGTATATTAATGAGAACAAGCTGTGTTTTCCATTTTAAAAAGCTGCAAAATCCAGAAACGCTTTTAGATACTTTTAATAACTTCCAGTCAAATGCACACACCAAGCCTTCGAAAATCTAATGCTTAAGAACGATTCATGAAGGGCATCCAGGAATTTCTAGGGTGGTGAATGTCTCTTGTTGACCAGCCGAGAGAAACTGGTTTGAGGTATTCGTGAAGGCGGAAGAATTCCAGTGATCATAAGCACGAGTTGGTAAGGGGGGGGGGGAAAGGGAAGAGGCTGTTTGTAACTAGTTATTTGTAATTAGTTCTCTTCCCCGGTAATGCATGTGTTAGGGGCCAAAATCCTGCTCGCTTTGTCTACAAGCAGAACAGAATCATGTAACATCGACCTTGTAACTGGTGGCCATTCACCTCCAAAAATTACGTTGTTCAGTGCGAACGCTGGCGTAAAATGACAGGCCATTGGGACTGTAACTTTACTGGGGTGTCACTTTGGTCCTTGTGTGATGTCAGTTCTTAGCCCCTGTGATAGTTTCGGGGTGCGGCCTCTCTAAAAGGCTGGGGCTGGCGCTCTTGTGGGTCTTGAGCCTAGAAAGAACCACCTCTTTCTCCTGCTCAGCCAGAAAGCAATGGGAAACTTCTCCGGCCTGCACGGCTTTTGAAGGGGAGGATCCGCTGGGTGAGATCCTTCCCTGCCTTTGTCTCCGTGTGTATGTGTGTGTCCCCCTCTGCCTCTGCACGCCTCTTCACCTCGGGGCCCTCTCTCGTTCTGCTTCCCTTTCCAGCGAGGCTTAAAACAGTACTGCTTCCTCGTCTTCCTGGCGGAGTGCTGCCTGGTGGCCCTTTTCATTTTCTTCGTCGTTCCGGAGACGAAGAATAAAACCTTCCTGGAGATCAAGCGGGAATTCCACAAGATGAATTTCGGCCGAATCAAGGAGCAGGACGGAGAGCTGGGCGAGAGACGACATCTCAGCAATGAGTTCTAAGGGCGGGCGGAGGGGTTACGGGGGGGGGAAGAGGTGGGCGGCCGACACAAAGGCCCCCGTTAGCAAGCCATGCAGGCGGAGGGGGGGGGGCTGTTTCTCCAGTGCTCTTTTCTGAGAGATTCTGCCTACAGGTTTTTTAAAATTACCACTTCCCTTTCTGTAAATGCATTTGGTACCCTGCAACAAAGAGGGGATTGGCTCAATAAAAACCCCTCAAACCGGCTCCTGTCTTTGTGTGGAGCAACACATGGGCGCGGCTTCAGCCTCGGGGGGGGGGTACCTGTGCAGATGTGGCCAAACAGGGTGAATCCCCAAGACGTGACCCAAGTGGGGGCGGGGGAATTCAGAAAGAGGACAAGAAGGAAAGCTGATGTGTCGGGGGGATATGAATGGCCACCCAAGAACGGGCCTGCTGGGTGATCTGGGAGGCGTTAGGAGACGTTGTGGGAAAGGGCGGTGATGGCATCAGAACATGGAAAATTCCTAATTTTAAAAAAAAGTACAACTCACAGCCAGCGTGGCCCCTGGAATGTGTCTCAAAGGCCACTTGTGTGGTTCAAATTTTATCTCCTCTGTCGCAACGTGATGCGTACATTCAATAACTTGGGGGGGGGACATTTCCCAAGTATTAGAGGTCATCTCACAAAGCAGGGCCTCCTGCTTTTCTCTGAAGGCACTTCGGTGGTGTTTTGATGAAGCGCAAGCGAGTCAGTTTCAGCAGGGGCTGAGAAGCTGCCTGGCGTCCCTTTTCCTCCGTGTCGCACCATTTCCCGGCCGAGCAGGAGGAGACACCCAGAGCAGGGGCCGGGTCACGTAGATGGTCGTCCAGACGGGGAATCCTTCTCACGTGAGGTCACGAAGGGACTTTCTTCCTCTTCACTTTTTCTTCCAGGTTGGCAAAATATTTCATTTTCGCTAAAAGGGTTTTGGCACCTTGAAGGTTGCCTGCCATGAAAAGAAACAGAGCAGGTTTAGGGATTCGGAGCCCGTTCAGGTCCTTTCAGGGGCTGGGCCCCCACGCTGAGCAAGGAAGAACCCACAGGAAAGGGTTTTAAAAACCCGACAACATGGCCCCACGAGCAAGCATGTAGGAGAGAGAGAGAAGCTGCTTTCGGGTTTGTAAAACAAATGTCAGTCTCGGGTAGGTAGAAGAGGAAGAATGTCCAGCTTGGCTCGGGTGGGGGCACACCTGCTGATTCCTGGTGGGCACTATCGTTTCTTGGGCCTTCCGAAGTCCCTCGCTCTGGTTTCGTGCCATTTCTAAGCCACCCAGGCTCCGACGCATTCCACGCAAGCCGAGAAAGAGGGGGGGGATACTCACCTTCATCGAAGGCTCTGCTCACTCCTTGGACCAGCTCCTCTTGTTTGGCTGGAAGGCAAAGAAGCGAGGCATTTGTTTCAGAAGACAAAGGCCAAGTGTCATCTCCTCAGCCACTGAGAGATGTTGCAGGAAGGCTTCTGGAGAGCTTCTGAGGAGGGGCGTCCAGCTTGGCTGGGAAGAGGGGGCTGACAGGAAACCCCAATGCTTGACCTCCTTCCCTCCCATCGCTTGGCCTGACTCCCCCGTCAGAATGCCACCCTCCTCCTCCTCCTCGGGCACGGCCACCCCGTCCTCCCTCTCACCTGCAATGAAGTTCTCCACGTCTTCTATTTTAGCCTCGCTCTCGGCTTCCAGGAGCTTCTCGTTGACCTCCATGATTTCGGAGAGAAATTCCGGGTCGGCTTGAGGGTCCGTCCCCGGTTCCAGCTCCACCCCGTTCAGCTCCAGCTAGAGAGACGCAAGGGGGAAAAAGACGGAAGGCTCCCGTTTTTAATTTCTCTGCTCCATCCCAAGGCCTTGGAGTTGAGCTGGGGAAGGGAACCGTCCACCCAAGTGTGTGTGTGTGTGTGTTCCTGTGAACGTAGCAGGTTCCGTGCCAATATTAGGAACCGAGATGGAAAATATACCGCCGTGGCTGTAATACATCCTTGCATAACTCTACAATGCAACCACGCTGGGAACACGGCCCACCATGGAAGTCAGCTCCGGAAAAGTTATGGCTTGAAAAGGGCAGCCGAGGGGAGCCAGGCAGAGGCACGAGGCTTTTGGGAAAGGGCCTCAAGACTCGGGGCCTTTCAGCTTAGGAAATAAGGGAGGCACCGACAGAGCAGCCAGGATACAGTATATGCGTGCCTGGGGTGGAGAAAGTGGGATGCCCTTTGGAGGTGGGAGGCCCTTCTCAGCCCTGCTTGCTGGCCAGCACAACGTGATTGTGTGTTTGTGTGTGTGTGCGCTCCCCCCTCCTGTGCTCTCCTTGCAGGCACCAGGCTGGCTTGGGCTGGGACCCAGCGTCAAACCTTGACCCACGGAGGAACTGCTGTAACGGGAAGTTGCCAGGGAGGCCGTGGAAGACCGCCCCCCCCGCCCTTACCAGGTAGAGCCCCCGGCTGAGGGGGCTGAGGAGTGTCCGATAGGCTTTGTTCACCAGGGAAGAGTGCTGTTCGGAGAAGTCCCGCTCCGCCTGCGGAAAGAGGGTTGAGAAGGGCGGGTGGGGGTTTAGGCTTTCGAGACGCGTGAACTCAACCCCACCCTTCCCTTCCGCAGACATTTTGCTCTCCTTTTAACTCACCCCTGGCAACTGTGCGCGTGATCACCTGCCCCCCTAGGAGATCCACATGACTGCTCCCCCCCCCAGGGGAAAACTCTGAGGAGCTGCTCAGAAGCACAGGAGAGGATCTTTTCTCATCTCCTCTTTGGAACGAACTGGCCTGGAAACCCGGCTTTTAAAAAGGCACTTGGTGTTCCTTTAGAAAGGGACTCGGCTGCCCGGAGGGCTTTTCCTCCGAACGGCTGTTCCCGCGGCCAAGGGCATTGCCTTGGTCTGGTGCCTCGTCCCATGCGCAGCACCAAACCGCACGGGGGGGGGAGGAGAGAATCCCTCGGGTTCCCTCTGGCGACCATTTCTGAGACGGCACCTTGCAAAGATTTTGCTAAGATGGCAAAAAACCCAAACCAGGCCAACCACCCCAAAACAAAATAAAAAGCTAAAAAATATATACAAAAACATGAGAAATACAAAGCCGTTTCTCCCTCGGCATTTCCTCTCCTTTCAAAGAGCGCTGGAGCCCAAAGCGCTCAAAGAGGGCAAGGAGCCGCGGGCTCGGGGTGTGTGTGTGTGTGTCACAAGAACGTTCGAGGTGGGCTGCCCTTCTGGAGAGAAGCCTCGGCTCAGAGGGCTCATCCCACCCGCAGCTCAGAAGGCCCTCCCTCGTCTGCCAAGCTCCCTCGCCTGGGAGATTTCCAAGCCCGTTCCCAGGAATGCGGGGTCAACCCCAGGCATTAAAAACAGGACCTGCATGGGAAGGCCCGGGCTTTTCCAAGATACTATTTGAGAACCAAGAGGTTGAGCACTCAGGGCTTATGGTTACTTTTATTATTATTATTATTATTTTTAGGACGAGCACAAATAGTCCTTCAAGACCTCCTCCTGATATCTCTAGCAGTTATTAATGCAATAGGGACCATCCACTAAATGGCCTTTTGCTACCGCTTCATGAGGGTGCTCTTTGACTTTCTACGCCCTTCCTGTGCCCGCTGGTGCCCCTTCCTGGGGATGCCATCCTGGTCGTGGAGGAGACACCGCCCCCCCTCCCCGGTCGCTCTCTCTCTCTCTTTCTCACCTGGGGCCGCTGGCTGAAGTAGTCTGGGTGGAGTTCGCGCTGCAGGGCCCGGAACTGCTGCTGGAGACGGGCTGCGTCCAGGCGGAAGGTGCGCTCGCTGCAGGAGGAGGAGGAGGAGGAGGAGAAGGGGGCCCGGCCGGGGTGGGGTCGGGGAGACAGGAAGGGTGCATGAGAAAAGAGGCACAC